ATTTCCTTCAAGCAAGACGTTTATACGCTCAATGGATATAGTTTTTGCGGCCATTTGCCAAACCGGGCCAAGTCGAAACTAGTTCTTTTTAGGGTCCCGTACCCACATTCTGTCAACGGGACTCTAATCTATTACTAAGTCAGTCTGTCCTTTTGTACAGTCAGCGTCCAATAGGTCGTAACTCCTAAAATAGGTACCCAAAAATTTCGCAATATGCCTTGTTACATTGGAATAGGGTTGTGTTGTATGGTCATTAAGAACAGACATAATTAAAAAAACCTTATGGTATTTGCATAGTGTGCACAGGGTGTTATTGCAGTAAAACAGACGAAAAGACTTACACCAGTATTCACAAGCCATGCTTGCTTAAGTGAACCAGCAATTCGGATGCACAGCGTTGAATAGAGCTCTGAGTGTGACCCTGTGCGTCCACGCGCACTGTGAGACCTCATAGTAATGTTAGTGAATACGGGCGTCTTAGATAATATTAGAAAATTGTTTTTTTTCATTAAATGAATGCGTTGTTTTCGATTTTAATCAAGGATTCTCCTAATTACTCCTCCTCTTTAATTAAAATACTGAACCTATCACATATGTGCCGACTCACACTTGACCGTTTTTTAGATCACTCCAATTCAATGCACTTTGTTTTAGTGTTCGTGCGTGGGAACTTTTTGCAAGGATTGCGTGTGAATAGATACCTACTTATTTGTATTTTTTAAAATCACATTTATTATCTCCATACCACAATATTTGCCACACATACAGGTGACTTTGTTATGAGTATCATTTTTTAAAAATAAGCTCTATCTTAATTTAACAATAAAACTTTATCATAAGTGAAAAAAAAATGTTTTCTTTAGATAAATCGATTAAGTTACTGATTATGTGTTGCTCCTAAAAATTTTGGCACTTATTGCAAAGTCACCCTGTATTGACACAGAGACTGGTCATAATACCAGCGGCATATTAGATTAAAAATATTCGTAGTAAAATAGGACTTATTACTATAGTATAAAATAGTGTGTAGCTTGAATCTATACTTCCATACTAATATTATAAATGCGAAAGTAACTCTGTCTGTCTGTCTTGCTTTCACGCATAATCCACTGAACCGATTTTGGTGGAATGGCACAGAGATAGTTTGAGTCCCGGGAAAGGACATAGGATAGTTTTTATCCCGGTTTTTGAAACAGGGAAGCGCGCGATATAGTTTTTCTGTGACAGACAAAATTCCACGCGGGCGAAGTCGCGGGCGGAAAGCTTTACCCATTCGTAGCTCACTACTCGGTCGGCCGAGAAATTGGCACCGTTCATTAAAAAATAACCAGAACATTTTTTGCATAATGTCAATTAGTTTACAATTATACAGCATTCGAATTTAAATGGATAAACCTGTCTCTTCATTCACTTCATTAGACATGTGGACGTTTGTAGGTTCAATTAAAAACTAGTTTTTGTAATGAGCAAAAAGTTTTTTGTGCTAAGTGTGACATAGCAATTACGTGACTATCAAGGATTGTGTTATTTGATTAATGTAAAGACTTTTTAACCACCGGATATTGGTAGATTTAACATTAATCTTTGATACCTACCATGATAGAAATACTTTTTGTTTTGGTAAACCACTAAATACATGTTATTATTGTGCGTGCGACTTATAAAATTGAGATAGTACCCAAAATATATTTTTAACTCATTGATTAACTTTATTGCTAAAACACTTAGGCTGGGTTGCACCATCTTACTTTAATTTTGACAAACGTAAAAAATCTGTCAAACTCCATACAAAAAGCACCGGTTATCGCTATAGTTACGGCCAAAGATAAGTGGTGCAACTGAGCCTTACACAGAAGGGTCGTGGTTTCGAGTCCTTTGTGAGGCAGATAGTTTTATGTGAAAAATTCATGAAAGACAATATCATATCAATTTGTGGTTAACCGTGGACATTACTTATCGATTTATTAACATGAATCATAATATAACTATTTTATAGCCATAATAATATTCCTATTGGAGGAAAAAGAATGGGTAAACTTATTAATATCATTAGCTACTTAGATTGTTTATTAGTTTGATATCTAGATAATAGAAAAATATCAGTTGTTTCAAGTTTAATCCTTTTTAATAACAAGATATGTATAATTAAATCTATTTTATTATTGCGCAAAAACATACTTAAAATAGCTTCCTAATCCGTTACGTTACGCCATTAAATAAATACAAAAAGAAAAACCATCTTCATTAAGATTTTGGAGTCATTTGCAGGTAAAAAATTTTTTTTGTATGTTTGTTACCTCAGAACTCCGTCTTTTCAGTGTTGGGGCAATTTTCTGTTAACTAGATGACTAGTATATCATCAAAATCTGTTCAGCTAACCTAAGATGAGGGCTATGATAAAATATTAGCGTCGATTATCGACGACAAGTGTATGCTAAAATCGATATTGGCCTCGGTAAAACGATATAAATAAATATCCTTGTACATTTTACACTGCGCTTCTAGTCCTAAGCAAAGCTTGTACTATGGGTACTAGACATCGGGTATAAACATACTTAAATGCTTTTTTTTTGTAAATACATACCTACTTATTATACATAGAAAACACCCAGTCCAATACAAACAAATATGTTCATGCACACAAATGTTTGTACTATGCGGGAATCGAACCCGCTACCTCCGGAATAGTAGTCACTACACCAAACGGCCGACCTAATATAATGGCGCGCATCATAAAGCTAGCAAAAGTTTAGTTTTCTTTCGACATAACTATCGAGCATCGAAACTCTTGCAATCAGGCTAAGTATCGATAAATCTACAATCAATCGGCAGCACTACAGTTCACTACACACGAATAGAAACCTTACATCACCCCCGAATCCTTCATTTATCGACTCATTGGCCCGACGTGACATGCAGAACGCAATAAGATGCAAATCTGTTTATCTCTCAGTCGGATCAGCCCGAGCCACCTAAATCAATCTGCCAGCGTTTATGGATAGATTCTGCGATTTGACTGACATTTATTACTAGCTTTCCGCCCGCGGCTTCACCCGCGTGGAATTTTGTCTGTCACAGAAAAACTTAATCGCGCGCGTCCCTGTTTCAAAAACCGGGATAAAAACTATCCTTTGTCCTTTCCCAGGACTCAAACTATCTCTATGCCAAATTTCATCAAAATAAGTTCAGTGGTTTAGGTGTGAAAGCGAGACAGACAGACAGACAGACAGACAGACAGACAGACAGACAGAGCTACTTTCGCATTTATAATATTAGTATAGATTTGAACAAATGGCAAGACTTTTGTAACATCAGATTTATTGGTTTTGTAATACTTTACTATAATAATATGTGCTCAAGGAATAAAAAAATCCAAATTACTACTTAGATAGTCATGAATAACATATTGTACGATTCATTCTTCATTAAATTAAATCTGTTTTTTTACTTACTTAGTAACTAAGAAGTGTTATGTTTTGGCACACAATATAGGTTTGTAGTGTTTGAGATACTAGCGTAGTCACCCTAGCTAGTCTGCTGGGTCTAACGATAAAAAAGTAATTAAAATAATTGCCTCTACCATGTTCTGTGACTAAATAAACAAATTAAAAAACATTTCGTTACATGAAAATGCGTAATCCGCAATATACGGGGTTATTTATGGGCATAGGGGTGCTCAACCCAATTGGAGTTGACAACGCTCCATCCAGCGGCTGTAGCGCTGTTATCGACGCCTGAATTGATGACAAAAGGCTCTTCACCCCTGGATTTTGAGCTGAATATCCTTTTGTTCTGGCGCGATGGCGCTAAAACCTGAATGGCTTCAATTAAGTTCGCAGCGAAAAGTGCTTGACATAGAAAAGAATAAAATAAAACCACACGCACGTAACTTGGTGAATTAAGTTTTGACTAGAAAAAATAATGTTTCTCTAAATTAGGTTAAAGATTCAATCACAGTCATTTTTCTTAATCTGCTGATTAGTTAAAGATCCCGTAGCAAATCCACACCAGTGATATGGCAAATTTTCCCCTAACTAAATTACCTACGCAATGACGTCGCGTCGCAGCCGTCGCGTCTTAAAGATACAGATTATTATAAATGATATAAAAATAAATATAGCTTGTCTCACTTGGCCAGCAGTGTAGCGTCAAGCGACTGCGGTTGCCACCACGATGACGTCGCTTCGAGCGTCTCTCGCTTGTTAAGGATACAAAAAGAAAGTTTTGTTTGACTTACTTAGCCAGAAGTGTAGCATCAAGCGACTGCGGTTGCGTCGCAACGTCACACGCGCTACAAAAGTTACAGAAGGAATATTTTATTTATTTATTTTAATTACTTACTTGGCCAACAGTATAGCGTCAAGCGACTGCGGCTGCCGCGCGTCCACCACGATGACGTGCGGCGGCCGCGCGTCGCCGTCGCGTCGCAGCGCGTCGAGCGTCTCGCGCGCGCCGCGCCGTAAGATTCAGGTTGTAAATGATAAGGAAGAAAAGTATCGCGTCGAGCGTCTCCGAAGACTGTAGACTTTTTGTCGGCCGGTAGTTTATATTGAAATAAATTTAGTATCGGCCGATTACTTGTACAAACTCCAACCAAACTATCGGCCGCTATAAACTCTAACCTGTGGGAACTATAAAAGATACAGAAGGAATATGTCTTACTTCCCTGCGTGATCGAATCAGAAATGAGGAGATCCGTAGGAGAACCAGAGTGACTGACATAGCCCGCAGAATCGCTAAAATCAAGTGGCAGTGGGCGGGGCACATAGCTCGAAGAGATGATGGCCGCTGGGGCAGAAAAGTTCTTGAGTGGCGACCACGAGCTGGAAGACGTAGCGTGGGCAGGCCTCCCACTAGGTGGACCGACGATCTGGTGAAGGTCGCGGGAAGTACCTGGATGCAAGCGGCGCAGGACCGGTCTTTGTGGAAATCCTTGGGGGAGGCCTTTGTCCAGCAGTGGACGTCTTTCGGCTGAAACGAACGAACGAACGATGTCTTACTTGGCTAGAAGCGTAGCGTCAAGCGACTGCGGTTGCCGCGCGTCCACCACGATGACGTGCGGCGGTCGCGCGTCGCCATCGCGTCGCAGCGCGTCGAGCGTCTCGCGCGCGCCACGCACCGCGCGCCCTTCGCCGCCGACGCGCGTCGCGGCCGCGCACGCCGCTGCGCACACGCGCGATGCGCGCTCCGGGAATACGCATAGCAACTGTGGAGGGACGGATGCTTTAGTTTTTTGAAATTTTCACGGATAAAGGACTGGTTTCCCTGCTAAATAACAGTAAACCACAAGTTCACTGAAGGTCTGTAAGAGTTATTAAAATATGTAATAAGCTTTTTATGTTTGGAAACTATGTGGTGATTTGCGCTACGTACAAACGGCCACAGTGTTAACTATCCATTTCCGTTTTTGCTCTCGCTCTCATCAAATGGTTATTCTTTGCGGCAATGGACAGTTAACACTGTTGCCGATAGTACGTACTACTTTCATACGTTAAAACAATTAACGGACAGACAAGTCACTGAGAGAAGAGAAACTAGGTATATAACATTAGACACATAATAAAAATTCGTAAAATAAATAACTACTTAAATATTACAATAACACAAACTTTGCTGAAGTGATGATGAGATCACACGGGACCCTGTTGTCAAGAGCTCTTTCAAAGTTTTTATATCACTAGAGAGCATAACTGGCTATGCTCCGATAAAACTAATTTACATTCATATCTAGCGTACTTTCGTAGCTTCACCATAATATCAAGATCATTTTCATAATTTTAACCTCTCAGCCCCCAAGCGGTAGCCGACTTCCGCGTAACAATTGATTGATTTGCGAAACTTGAAGGATTAAGATGTGAAACTATAGTTACTATACTATCACCATAGTTCTCCTGTAAAACTCTAAGCTCAGTAATTATGTAATTTTAGGCTCGAACGAAAATCATACTGTGAATTTCCACTTCACCCGAATCGAGTTAGGAATAAATTCGCTTCGACGCGTACACGGATTATACATAAGTAGGTATGTTACTAAAGTGTTTTCGCGACTGGTTTTTGGGTTCCGTCCCCGGGGACAAACACGCGCGAACTAAATCAAACTAGTAGTATCGAGAAGTTATAATTTGACAGCTCTCTGTACTGTGAAGGGAGGTAAGTGGCTTGATGTTTATGAATCTAGAAAATACTGTCGAATTTAGGCGGACTAAAGTTTTTGATTTAATTGTGGTCCACCTGCTAGACATAATAATAATGCTGAGTTGCACCACTTTATTTTAAATGTAACAATAACAATAACCGGTGCTTTTTGTATGGAGTTTGACAGATTTTTGACATTTGTCAAAGTTAAAGTAAGATGGTGCAACCCAGCTTAAGAGTAGTAACAAAAAATCTTGCATTTTGTTTACATAATTAGACACGACCAGTTTTACCTATGAAAGATGAGAATACATTGTTCTAACATAAATTATACAACATTAACAAGTAATAGACATCCGAAGACAATACTGATTTTTAAAATCACATGTCGTTTATCAAAGTTAGTTGATTAGAAATAAAAACGGTTCAAACTTGTTTTGTCCATATTTTTCGCGCCATAAAAGTCTATATCTAAAAAAAGTAAAGGAAACCCTACTCAATTTCACATTCATTAATGCAATTAATTTCTTTATACGAACGCGCACCTATAGAAATGGTATAAAAACAGTTTATAGTTGACAATACCAATTGGCGGTAAGTGTTTAAAAAGTGTAATAAAATTTTACAGTGCAAACCACTTCACGTGTGGCGCGGTAAAGTTGCGCACAGACTGGTCAGATGTTTGTAACACAGTAGATTTGCGAGGAAATTAACGCGAATGTTGCGAAAACTCTTTTTTATATTAAAAACGTAGAGCTGCGTCAATTTTGATGGACAGTTTAATTTAATTTTGAATCTGTACACCTCGTTACTTAGAAATTCCGAATAACCCACCTAAGTTTTTGTATTTGTTGAAGTAAAAGTTTAATAACAAGCTTTTAATTTACTAGATAGCTTTATAAAAAATCGGATAAACAGCACGTTAAAACTATGTTACAGCTTAATTTACCTACATACTAGTCGGTTTTTTTATTCATTCAGGATCTCAACGGAGAGACATTGTAAAAATACCAAATTAAACCCTTAATTAAATCACAGATTTACAACATCTTTACTAAGCATTTAAACTCATTATTTTGGCAAAGAGCAATATTCGCCCCTGTCAAAGCACTTCCAGCAGTGCCGATCAAATCTGCAGGCACCTTATTGCGATTTAATTAAACTTGATTGGTTATAATGTCGCATTACTGCAGAATCGGCGCCGGCATAGCGTCGCGCGATTAAACGCAATCAAGCCGACATTATCGGCCATATCGAAGCGCACGCGCATTTCAATACGCATCTGTAAGTTACTTTTTAGGGACTGCGTTTATTCCTTTTTAAGATTTGCTTGTTGATCATGACTTGTTCCTCTTCATGATAAGCGAAGGACGTCTTTCTTATCGAATGGCGAGCGTGATTTCCAAATTTTTGTTGTTGTGCATTTATGAATTAGTTGTGCATCCAATGATTCCGACTTGGCGCGATATACGGCCTGTTAAGATAGCACGGAATACAAACCAGCTCCCAAATCGCGCGGTGTTGAGCGTCAATTGTTGCTAGTGGATACTCAGCTTATTTCGCATTAGTGGCGTTCCAAAATGATAGAAATGCTTCTGATCACTAAGGATGTGAGCTCAATAAAATAGTCTTTATTATGACCACTTTCCGTGAGCTCACTGTGTGTATAAGAATCATCATCAGCCTATATCAGTTTGCTATCTGCACTACACCTTATCGCATCCAGCGAGTTTTCTCAAGTCGGAGTGACGTTGAGGGCTTTCTATTAGTAGCAGAAGAAGGTGTAAGAGTATCCTTATTATAATTTTGACTTAATTTATATACAGGGTGTGGTTTTGTAAAACAATGACCATCTCAGGGGCGGTAGTATACACGACACTGATGCCAAAAAAATATATAAAACTGGCTATCGGACAGTCCCCCGCACTCTCGGGGTGGCGGCCGCATATGTGCTTGGTGGTGTAGCGGGGTACGCGGGGGTGGTGCGGGCAGTAACAAGCGCCATCATGAAAGTTTTAGTAACCGTTTGAACAAGGTTTTTTACTAATAAAGTAATAGTTAAAATTTTATTTATATTTTTCTTGTGATTACTTTCATGTGTACTACCACCCCTGAGATGGATGTTGTTTTACAAAACCACACCCTGTATACTGTTATTAGATATTTATATTTACCTCTAAGGGCTCCGAGGGCGCGTAGATGAGCGCAGAGGGGATGTGCGCGGGCGGCGGCGACCTGTTCTGCAAAGAGAGACACACTGTGTAATATACATTAAAATAATATACCTAAGTAATATTTAAATCAAATTAATGTTAATTATGCTAGACGTAATGAAAAATTGCTTCTGGAGACGATTAACTTACTAAAGGTCTTCTGGAAAAGGTTTTTAAAAATAAATTGAAATAAATTGATAAACTTGGTATTTTTAATGGGACGATGATTACTTAACTTAGATACATACAATTAAATATCTCTACAAAAATATCTACATTTACAAATCTATGAATTTGTTTTTTTTCATTGTGTTACCAAAAACCTTTGACGAAAGAAATAAACATTTTTATATACCTAGTTTCTATGAAAGAAAAACAGCCTGACGCATTGTAAATAATTTCTGTAACAGACTGACAGACAATAACATAAAATGTGGATTTGGAGCGTGTTGTAGTCCTATTTTGTAAAAATACATTTCTAAAGATTTCCATTTCACCCAGCGGATAATTTGTTGGGATAATAAACAAAATAATATATTTTCTTACAAACAAAAAACTAATTTACGTAAATATAAACTTCGCATACGTCCCACATTGCGCGTGGGTATTTAATGATGAGCGACAGATCACCTGAGGCGGTACTTTGAATAAGTCTTAAAATAAGGGCGGCTTCAGATTAGAGCGTGACGTAGCGCTGCAGTGGCACGATTGTGGCGTGATTGTTGCGGTATGAAATTGTAAAAGCTCTAATGATGCGACACATGGTGACAGACACGATAACATTAAGGTGGCGATACACATGGCTGTAACTGTATCACGATCGCGCCAAGCACTTAAGCTTCAACCACACCAACACGTGCAGATCGCCATCGCCGGCGCTATCAAAGGCCAATGACAGGTCGCGCGACCCATGACAGTTCACGCGACCTGTCATTTCCCTATGATCGCGCCGCGATCACGCGGCGATGGCGATCCGCACGCGTTGGTGTGGTTGAAGCATTAGATATGTCATCGTAAAATTGTAAATTCCGTCAGTTTATAATACATATTACTCGTGAGATTGTAAACTAACAGTGGGTTTCATTAAGTTAAATTGTAATCTGACGGAATCTAAATTTTTTGGTAACAGATTTATACACTTCACGTTTGAAAGCGCCCTATCCAGAGCATTACAGTCCTTCATAAAAGTTGTTAAGGATTATTGGATAAGTCCATGTTTGTTAGGCCTTCACGGAAAAGCCAATAAAATCAATTAGGTAACTTTTCATAGAATTCTTCTCTAAGTAATTCGCGGAAAAAAGCCAGTCAGATACAAACATTAAGGACCATATTCGTGGATATGACGACGTTGCCAAGCAATCTGTACTCGTACAGTAGCTATGGTAACGCCTCCAACACTTCCACCAATCTCGCTAACTACTTACTTATATACCTACTCTCGTAATGATACATACTTACTTGTATTATAAATAATTGTAGGCTACTAAAGTAACTCTGACTGTTTCTTTGTCAAGTTTTCACGCCTAAGTCGGGGAAGAAAAACATTTAGGCCCAGAACAGACGGTGAAACGCAACTGCAACGAAACTGCAACTTTCTGATGATTCTAATTAATGAAACTGAAACTGAAAATTTTAAACTGGTCGCGTCATGTGTGATCTCGCTACGGACGCTATGGCAGAAACTTAGATGCAACTCAAAAGTAACTAGCAGTTGCAGTTTCGTTGCAGTTGCGTTTCACCGCCTGTTCTGGGCCTTAGGCTACCATTTTACTGAACGCTAGCATGGAAAACCTATAATTCCTACTTATTATAGGAATATGACAATAAATTCAGTACTATTTTTCCATCTGGGAACACAATAAAAAAGGAAGAGACCGAATTCGAAGCGTTTATCTTTTTCACTTACTATAGTTTGTAATAGAAAAATCTACCTTTCATATAAGGTCTAATGAAAAATGGCCCTAAAATGGACCAAACCCATTCCTCTTAGGGATATGATGACGCTTAATGTCACAACAAGATCATAAAGTACACAAAAATAAAACGTATAATTTATGTAGACGACCTTTTATGACTGCACTTGAGTTCTGAATTTGAGTGACATTAACATTGTACTTGATCATGAAAGCTTTCATAACTTGGTGCTATACAATGTTCGCTAATATTTTGCTTTAACTATAACTTTAAACGCAATCTCACCATCTCTATAAACATTACGTTTATTTCACAAAGTAATATTAGCTTGTCCTGACTGCTCCATTTAACACACTGAAAATCACTTATCTTAAGAGACCTAATCACTACACCTTTTATCTAATATACTAGCCAAAGTGTCGCACCGCAAAATTGCAACTTAAATTAAGCCCACTAAAGCTCTATTTCCTTGAAGTCTCCTAGAAGTGTCTCCTAGCCTAGTACCTACGTAGAATTAATTATTAACGCTGTAACTTATTTGAATGTACCCTTATCAGGGGTGGACATAATCTGATTCAGGCACTAGATTACATCTCATGAGATTTCTGAGATGAAAGGACTAGGGGACAGGCATAAGTAAGGCATGTTTTCCAGCAAGGCTGAGAAGAGGCGAGAAGTCATCAGAAAAAGCTTTTTTATTTTGTTGGCTTAATTAATTATTCGATTTAACGCGAGGTCTAATGTATAAAGTTACTGGACCACAGATCACAGAAACTAAACGGAGATGTGACAAGGGGCGGGTCTGGTGTCGCAGCAATAAGCCCAAAAACAGAGCACATTGCTGCAGACGTCATAATGTAAACAGTTTAAATTACTTGCATAGTACCTACTAAAGATTTATTCGTACGTTGAGTACTGATTTCAGTGGATAATGAGCACATATTTTGATTACTTTGTGTGTGTCAATTCTAATGCGACACTGAACGTTCATTCGGACTCAGCGCATTAGTTGGCATCTCTCTAGTATATCTCTTTGTACTGGACTAAACGTAACCAAATGAGTTTCGTCATTAGCACGTTTCGTTCGGTCCGCTTCAGTGGATATGATTAAGCACAGCGGAGAGATATGGGCTGCATTTTCATATAAATACATCGCGCAAAATACGTAGGCAGAGTGGAGAGGGAACTATGTAAACGGATTTTTTCGGAGATTTTCTCAGGGATTCTGGAAGAGAAAAATCTCCGCACATCTCCGCTCCGCTTCGGTGAAAATAACCTGCCCGTTATGTCACTCGTTTCCGCACATCTCGATTGGTGGAAAGCAGCCCTGACTCGTGATATCATAGCTTACTCCCATCTATATTTGATAGCAATTCATTGTAAGGATTTTCCTGGATGTATTAAAGAAATAAAGTCGGCAGAAAAATAGGACAACTTCCACTCTTCCCGTGGATGTCGTAATAGGCGACTAAGGTACAAATAACAGAATGTGACTATCATAGAGTTGACTGAGCGTGGGAAGTGTGGTCTAAATCTTCGATTTGCCTCCAGTAAATTAGAGAGCGTAGAGCTAGTAAATGAACTGATGATGATGAAAAAAGTACTTTTTTAATTATGAAAAGATAACGTTAGTTAATAGTGGGATAATTGAAGTAGAAACCAACTTATTTATTTATTTACCTTAACCCTTTAAGCCCCGCGAATCGAGACACAGTCGAAATCAATTGTTACGCGGTCTTATGAGACCGATTTGGGTTTGATGGGTTAAGCTTTTTTTTCATCCACAACGAGGAAGCTCTTGGCCTGTCCTGTATCTCACCGAAGGTGGAAGCGAGCTTCATCCGGAATCCTCAACCACAGAGGAACTGGCTATCTTACCTCTAACTGCTTACTTTACAATGTTTGTTATAAAGCCGTATAGAAAGTAAAACTGTGCTAAATTAAAGTTTGCAATAGTCAAAGTACGCAAACAGAGTCGTACGCAAAAGCTATAGCCAACAAATGGCATTCTACTTAGTATCCAATTAAATAGTAACACGAGCGGGACATACCGGGTTACTGAATGTTCCCGTGGGACTCCACTCCGCTCAACTTTCCACCTACTAGCAAGTTAAAACTGCCAATTTAGCTGAAAGTGGGTATCGTACTATACGTATAAAGTGCTATGATAATACAAAGGTTATTTCGGTATTTAGGTAGTTCGTAATACCTAGCGAACCACTTTTATGAAGTTAGTGTTAAATAGTCAATATTTAAAGCTGAATAGTGACTGAGCTTCTTGCGCTGCTTTTCAGCACTGACCCATTTATTGTCCCGAAGCAGTGGTAGGGTTAATACTAGGATGTGCAAAAGTGCTTTATAAAAGCCTACGTGCCAAAATAAAAGGAGTTTTATGAAAGTGTTGCGTAGCTTTTGTAAATAAAAGCACCTGCTTTTATTTAAGAGTACAGTAGGACGCCGATTATCCGAACGCCGATTAACCGAATCGCCAATTATCCGAATCGGTCCTCAGCGTAATATAAAAAATTAAAACCAAGTAATTTTTATTTTGTATTGGTGTAACAAGTTGGAACTCGCAGGAGTCTACATATATTTCAACTGAGCGTTATTAAAGAACCGTAAACACAGTTATTAAAGTTTATTCTATGTGTGACAGTTCGTTTTTAACATGCTTTTTCTTTATTACCAGTCTATGTCCGATTATCCGAATTTTCGATTATCCGAATCGACCCCAGTCCCAATTAATTCGGATAATCGGCGTTCTACTGTACTTATATTTAGAACTGAATTCACGAGTATAGTTGTTGCAATTCACGAAGGCGAGTGAGCTTTACATGTGTGGTGGCTCGCTACTGTTCGTTTTCAAAGGTTTTGATAGACATTACACTATCGTTATGTGTGCATGTTACACACATACACAAGTAAAGCATACTCGCCTTCGTGAGTTGTAAGAACTATAACTAGGTTAAATACGAGTATATCAATGCATCTATCATAATCTTGTGTTGTTGGACTAAGTACTATTTTGCAGCAAAAGATGATTCTGATGAGACGTTGATACGCCTACGTACATATTAGATAGGTATTTATTATTAAAATATCGGAATTTCAAA